ATATAGTATATAATATATGTCTATATATATATATATATATATATATATATATATATATATATATGTAATATGTATATAATGTATACCTATATACATATATATATTTATATATATATATAATATTTCTATGTATGTGCGTGTGTATGTATTTATATGTGTACTTATATATATATAAGTATTTGCATATGATATTTATATATATGTGTGTGTGCGTGTATGTATATATAAATATATATATATATATGGATGGATGGATGGATGGATACGTACATAGATACGTATATATATATGTATATATATACATTTCTATTTCTATTTCTATTCATTTATATATATATATATATAATTCGTATGTATGTATGCATGTATGTATTCATATGTATACAAATATATATATTTATTTTCATATATATATATATATATATCAATACAAATATAAATATATATGTGTGTGTGTGTGCATGTATTCATGTATATCTTTATATATATATATATATACATATATATATATATATATATACATGTATATATATAATTATATACATACACACACACACACACATAAATATATATATATATACGCATATATGTATATGTGTGTGTGTATGTGTGCGTGCGTGTTTATGTATATGTGGACGTATAAAATGATATGTATCGTTTACTACTATAGGCTTATATGTAAATGTTCATGTATGACTGGTATATTATTCAAATATACTTAGGTCTAGGTTGCTCTTTATACTCATTGGCGCTATGTATTGCTACACAATTATGTGTATACCTGGATTCTCTGTTGTATTTGTGCGACAATCTTATATGCATGTGTGGATAGCCAGACATGCTCTAACGTATCTGCATTGTATATTTGAAACGTATATCATTCACTATATTTTCTATATGCGAGTTACAAATACAAGTCTTAGTCATTTAAGGCGTATACTTTGACCATGGAGGCGACAGATGAACATTGTATGCATGTTTTGTGTTGAACGAACGCTTCTCAGTACCTTTCCTTGGTATCATTCTATATATATTGCGTTTGGACGAGTAAGCATACAGTAATTTATCTGAAGATATGCTTTTGATATTAGGTGCATATCTGGTGTACCCACTTGTACATTTCATCGGATGGTTTTATTCGTGTTTCCAGCTTAAATGCTGTAGTGACTGTGCGTATAAGGACATAAGACGTGACAGACTTCTATATATACGTGCAGTTGTTTTTCCCGCTCGAGTATCTGTGCGAAAGTGATTGTGATATGTATTATACCCTAGAGCTTTAGCTTGCAATAATTATGCTGCTTTGCACTGCTTCTCATTATGCTTCAACACTTTCTGATGCCTCGTTCTCTCGGCAATTCTCTCCTGTTAACAGTACATCAAGAAAACCAAACGCTACTTATGCCACGACGAAAATGAGCTTTGCGTCGGTATGTTTTGATCGCTCGCGACCTCTTTTGTAAAATTCTTGTGCAAATAGGATAGTACTTGTCTCCATATAGTGCTTCAGCAATATAATAGGCATAGATGGTTATAGATGGTTGCCGGCAGCTTTCATAGATCCGGTTGTCCAACCCGTACCCGTGTCACTTCATATCCACAAGCTTTCTCCATTATCATCACGTGCCTTTTCATCGCAGTGGGAGACGAGGTCAGAATACTTGCTTGCCGGCCCGTTAGCAAGCGGAAAACATTTGTAGTCGATCAAATAGTCAATCCAACACAGCGAAAAGTGGATCTGACTGGGAAGTTGCACACCCAGTGGTCTTAAGGTGGTCCGTCTGGTATCGGAGAGCTTCTGGTTGCAAGCCATGCACGTGCATTGTCGACGATATCCGAGTATATCATCACGTACTATAAAAAGATTAGACATATGCACACTATGCAGACATATTTTGTCTATGTGCACATGGTTGTTCTAACTTTGGATTGGGAAGGGGCTAAAGGGGGGCGAGGGTGGAACACCAAACACTTTTGTAGGCAACCCCTGCACGCCACCTGCTCTATATACAATATCGAGCAAAGCTCGCGAACTAATCTTTGATATGGTACAATTGCCAGACTCCTTCATCATTATAAACACCACGAAGCTGAAATCAAAAGGAATATCGAACAGATACTTGCTTAAATCCACATAGGCCTATGCTAGAAACAATTTGAGATAAGGCAGTAGCAATAAAGGCGCATATTGATGTGCGATTTTATTAATTCGAGTCCAAGCACAATAATATATTAGCCGACACTCGATAGTTCGTACTACAAGTACCGCGGATGGTCTCTGAACACATGTCAGCTCCCTACGAGTATCGACAAGAATTGTATCTCAGAATCGGTCTCTAACGACAGATTCTACTACTTAGTCGTGCCCTAGATAGTCCACACCATTCACGCCGTCTCGATCCTTGAAGTAAAAGAAGCGCAACACTGAGTAACATCCATGTATTTGTCAAAACACCATATGTATAATAAATATGTATGTATATGTACATATTTATGTACGTATATGTACATATTTATGTATGTATATGTACTTACATATATGTGCATACATACATAAATATATATATATATGGGTGTGGGTGTGTGGTTGTAATTATATATGTATATATATATGTGTGTATGTGTGTGTGGTTGTATATATATATATATAATGTATAATGTATAACATATATATATTAATATAACAAAAAAAAACTACAAGATATATATATATATATATTCACATATATATATATATATAT